TAAAGAACGTGCGTGTAACAGCTGTAAAAGTGATCTTTACGAACCTTTTCTCAGAAAACCAACGATTTAAATGTACAACGAAACATGTCGGAGATGTTTATTCTTGTTAACTTGACAACTCCATAGTTTTCAAAAAATTGATTCCATAGTTTTCAAGATCACTTCGTTATTCGCACGGAAAAAATAAATAAAAAAATACTACAAACAGAATAAAACCAATACCGACGAATGAGAGATGCATCCATAAAAATTAAGCATTTATGAACCGAGAAATTTCGATTCGAAATTCAAACGCGCCCGAACTGATAAACCGATCGATCAGTTTCGTCGCGGTTAAACGTTCACGGTGAAATACTTTGTACACGATGGAAACCGAGGGAGAAAAATCCTCGCGGCTACCGCGAAAAAACTTTCGACGTTTGATTCGTCCCCGACACGTATCCCCGAATGGTAATATTTGGCGGTAAAATATGCACTCGATTTTCCAGCATTTGTTCTCGCGCGCGATTCGTCGGGGTTTCGCATTTCGTTCGCCCCGCCATCTTGACGAAGGGATATTTGCGGAGCAATCGAACCGACAAAATCGTCGAACAAAATCGCGTAACCGGCGTTGTCGTCGGCCGGGCGCACACGTGTCCGCCACGATATTCCGCTGCTTCCATCTTCGTGGAAAACGGGGCCGCGAACCGTGAAAAGGTTGTACAGGATCCGTCGGCGGCGTTCGGGAGCGTTTTCGGTCAGAATCCGGCCCCGGCGCGGAATGATATTACGCGGCGCGAAATGACGCCGGTATTTCTGGAATTATGGTAATCAGCGACGCTGCAACGCCGGCTTATCGCCGGCTGATACGGTCGGTTGCAATTCGAACGTTCCGCGAGGGAGATGATCCAGTTAGATAGGATTTTGAGATTTCGAATACGCCCGGCAGGAAAAATTCAGGCTCGCGTTCCGCAGGCACGATATTGCCCGGGATTTCTCGAATTTCCGGCGCGCGGCGCGGCTCACGTTCTATCTTCGCGTAATAAAACCGACCGCTGCCTTCGCAAAATTACCTTCGGGCCCGAGGTTTTACCTCGCCGCTTGATAATTACTTAACCCGAGCCACGGCGCTCGATTACACTCGCAATGATCGGAACCCTATTTGCGTTCAACGTGTTCTTTTAACGGAGAGGAAAGCGAGGAGGATTTTCGAAGCGGCGCGAATTTTCTAAATTATTTCTACGTCCACAAAATTCCGTTGGGAATACCTGCGAGAGCTCAATTATGTGGACTTTTTAAATGTTCTCGTTGGTTGTACACCTGCGTAATAATAATTATTCTTACTATCCGGTTGAAGTTTCGCTGACATTGTTCGCCGTAATGAAAGGCACGAGTCTTTTATCGATAATAAAAATTAACAAAAATCGTACAAATAACGAAGAAGTAGAACAAAAATATGGATATTCGTGATGAACGTTCATCGATGTTTTATAAAATCAACGATGATATGTACGGTAAACGAAGTTCCGTTGTTGATGGAGTGTATAAAATCAGCGTCAATGAAAAATACACATACAATACGTACTACGATAAAAAGAAATTTAATCATGAAACGATGTCGAGTCTCTGTTAATAATTTCCTCTTCCTAACAATAACGAAATCGACGCAAGTGTGTGTGTGTGTATCTACACGGTAAATTTAAATATTTGAAAGCAGGAGCTAATAAAAATGAAGCAAAATAAAATCGTACGTTCGCTACAAATACCGATAACAATACTCCAGAAGAAATGAAATTCTGCGACGTTTTCTGCCCTGATCAAGGCGTCGACACGCCCTAAACCGAGGAAGAGTAATATCTGAACACGTGACTCTTGTTGAGGAAAATTTATTTTATTCCCGGTACCGGTTCGAGCCATAAATTTCGTAAGCAGCGTAGCCGCTATCACATTTTCATGGCAGTTCTTTCATCCCTGATTCCCGACAGTGATTCAGAGGCGGCCCTAAAAATTTTTGAGTGGACCATAAAGCGTAGGAGGTTCGCCGAAAACGAGCCCGCGAAGTGTCCAGTCGAGTGAGAAGGGTTCGCGAGTGGACCGCGAAGGGAGAGGCTCGAATGTATCAGGGCGGCGAGCTGGCACACCGGAAGTTGCTGACCCGGAAGCTGGAACGGGGCCAATGCCGGATGCCCGGCCGCAGTTTGCGGACCCTGCGAACCTCGCGCGGTATCGCGGTTATTTCCCAAACGAAGAAAAGGATCGCGACCCAAGGTGCATTAAACATCGGACGGGAGGAGATTCGAAACCGGTCCTTGCACCATTATCTCCCGGGGGGAACCGTGCGGCACCGTGAAAGCCTTTAGCGTATTCGTTTTTTGCGAGTTTTTACGATATTCGACGGAGGATTTGATCCCGCCGTTTCGCCCGCTCTTTTATTCGGAAACGGGAAACGCGAACCGGTGAACTGCGAACAGCGTTGCCGGGATCACCGTGAACTTGCATCCTCGAGCGAGCAGTGGAAATAAATACAGAGTGTCCCAAAAATGTCTCGCAATCTGAAAGTGGCGGCTTCCTCAGGTCATTTGAAGCAACTTTTTCCTTTACAAAAATGTTCTCCGAGGCATCGTTAACGAGTTATTAACGAAAAACAGTGACCAATGAGAGGCGAGCTCAGCTGGCGCGAGGCGACCGAGCCAGTGAGCGGAACTAGACTTCGTGCGCTGGTTGGCTGGGACGCCTCGCGTCGGCCGTACTCGATTCTTATTGGTCACTGTTTTTCGTTAATAACTCGTTAACGGTGCCTCGGAGAAAATTTTTGTAAAGGAAGAAACTGCTTCAAATGATCCGAGGAACCCGCCATTTCCGGATTGCCAGACATTTTTGGGACACCCTGTATATGATGTGTGCAAAGTAATAGAATAATGTTCTTAGAACCGCTTTGACAACAATCTCCCAATTTCATATTAAAGTTATATGACCACGAGTTCCTTTGTCAACTTTCTGTGGTGTTCATAAAAACTTACACTAATGATGTACAGATTAAAAACGCGCATATCTCGAAAAATTGCACTGTAATACAACAAAAATTACACTGTTTTTCAGCTTATTACATCAAAAGATAGATGAAGTCATATAAAAATGCGAAAGGGAAAAGCGAAGAAAGAAGAAAAAAGGAAAATGTGAATTAAAAGAAGAATTCATTATTACATTTTTAGAATGTTACAATCAATTCTGAAATAAAATTTCCAGTAATTTTGGTGGTGCAAAGCAATAACGCGAAGTGTACTTTATGGTGACGAAGAGATCGGGTTAAAATATGAACAAAAGAAACGACTAATTTATTTGCAGAATCCAATTTTGACTCCGATAACGTGATAATTGAACAAATGTATATAAAACCAAGACAAGAGATCTGTCACAGAAACTGAAAACGCCATGGAAAAGACGATACGGAATTCAAGATTAAATTAAAGGATCGCATCGAACGCGAGTGTATAATAGCGAGGATGATTATCGGCGGTAACGTGGCAGTTAGCATGCTCGGTTATGCTTCTTTCCGCGCGTAACTACCGCGAGCGCGTATTTCTTGCGTGTAGCAGAGCAACCCCATGGCCGAATGCATAGTTCGCCTGATACCTTTATGACTCATGGATCTACCGTTGTCTGGTTGGCAAACGACCACAATGGAGTTGCTGTGGACATCAAAAGCGGTGCCATCCAATTTGCCGGGCAAATTGTGGATGACTTGTTTCGTTAACCCAGTTACGTACCGGCGTGGGACGGGTGATCAAAGAAACGACTGTTAAACATTCTCCTGCATTCGTTTCTCGGGTCGCCAACTGATCCTTTCGGAATCGATGATCCTTCATTAATTACGATCCTCCTTGCGAGATACCTCGAATCGATTACTCCGTAGATCTCTCAATTTCAGATACGTGAGAGAAACTAAATTTCGCTAACTAGTGTTAAAAAAATGCAGTCTGAGATAGAGTTGTTTTAAATGACGGAATTGTCATCTGCGTTTGCAATGGAAAATTCAAGATGTGCGATGGAACCTCGATTATCCTCCAATATGAGAATTATTAAATGTTATTAAATATTATTAATATTAAATGTTATTACATATTATTAATATTAAATATTATTACATATTATTAATATTAAATATTATTACATGTTATTAATATTAAATATTATTACATGTTATTAATATTAAATATTATTAAATATAATTAATATTAAATATTATTAAATATATTATTAATATTAAATATTATTAAATATATTATTAAATATATTATTAATATTAAATATTATTAAATATATTATTATATATTATTAAATATTTGCTTATACATATATCGCTTAATATATAATTATAAATTATTAAAATTTGCTTAAATATCGTTTAATATATTATTACATATTGTTAAATATATTATCAGATATTATTCAATATACATATTATTAGATATATTATTATGCATTCTTAATCAATACAGGATCAATACAATAGAAATTAATAATCGTACAATCGTAGTTCCTCCGTATTAAAACCAACGCTGCGTACGTTCGTGTAAACAATTATCATCGCGCTTTCCTTTCAAACTTTGTATTAAAGAACAATTTCCTTCGTCAACCGGTAAATTGCGCATTGCAAGAAGAAACCGGCAATCCAGTATCCGGCGTACATGGAGAAACGTCCAATCACCGGCGCGGGCACCGAAAAAGAATATTGCAGACGGAAATCGCAAAAAAATATTTTCCAGGAGGGAAATGCAATCAAGACAGCCATAGAAACCCCATGGAAAGTTTCGCCGAGTAATTACCGAAACGCTCGGTAACTCTATCAGGCGTTCCAGGTGGAAGCGAGCAAAAAGTGCGCGTTACATCGAAAGGGTGGTCCAGATGGGTGGGCGCGCAAGTGGCGGGAGGCGCGGGTAGGGGCGAGTGAAATTGATTTCCGATCGAAGGGGGTGAGCGTCGTATCGGGTGCAGCGGAATCAGAGCAGCGTCGGCGTCGGCGTCCGCGTCGGCGTCCGCGTCGCCGGCTGTCGTTGCGTTTCAATCAGCCGAAATTCGACAGCGGGCCGCGTGGCACGCGCGCGATTAAATAAATTACAGAGTCTCGCGGGGTCCGGCTCGTGGGAGAGACAGCCAGCCGGCTGCATAATCTGTCATTGTGTCAGGCGCAGGACGTTTTCACGCTGCGGTGTGCGGCCGCCGAGTAGCGTGCGTGGGTGTGCACGCGGTCGACGACAGGCCTGCTCGCGTTGGATAATGAGTATTCGCGCGAGGACACGCGGAACCGAGACCGCCATAACCTAATTCCGCTGCGGCCGCCGCCTCGGCCCCTTCGAGGCCACCGGGCTGATCCATTCGCGGGCCACGTCTGATCTCACTCGGTTTCTGGATCGACGATTACCGGCCCTGAATCGTGATTTCCAAGAGAGACCTGTTAATCACGCTTCCACGGAACAATTTTTTTCCTCCGCCAGTTGGCGCGCCGTTTTGGTTCCTTCGCTGTCCTGGATCGGCCGCGGAACCACAGCCGTCGCTTCCAGGACAATTCTGTGCATTCGGGAGAAAAATCGGTAAAGACATGTTACGTATATTCGATTTATTGGAAGAGGAAGAAATGAAATTTAACAAGAGAGTAAAGTACGCCGAGATCGGTGAACGTAAGATTGTCCATGATCTAAATTTAACGAGGTCCTGATCTTGCCTGGCTGCATCTTCCATCACCGGCTGCAGTATTATCCAAAGTTTCGCGTAGTATGATAATTGCGCGGGTGAAACACACGCATAATTACCGTAAGATTAATGGTATATTTTATTTCGTTAATGCACCGTTCCAGAGTGATTTATAGTGAGAGGGACAGCCTTGAGCAGCCGATACGTTTTCCGCCTATGCGTTAGGCGCGCTCTGTTCGATCCACGGTTCCCGAAGCGCTTTATGCAGTTATACCGCCGTTGCAAAAGTCGCTCGACGAGGTATCGCATTATGTCGTTCAACGTAATTAGCGACAGTTCGTCATTAATCCTGCCTTGCGCCATATTCGGCTGCTGACGCAAATGCACGGCGTAGCGTCAGCTCGTTGCGCGAAAACATTCAGCCGGGAATGATCGCGCGTCACCGCGTCCGGATAACTGCGGGTAACGCGATCATGCTACCACGGTGAACTAGATCGTTTCTCGAAAGCTTACTTTCGACGTTCACCTGCGTGCAACGTTTCGCTTCGCAGCGAAATATACGCGTGTCCTGATACGTCGAACAGACGCGGCGACGAGATCCTTTTGTTGTTGTTTACGATCGACGCGGATTCTAATTAAAGTTCTCGTTCGTTCGTCGTATGAGATAGTTTGTTTTTGTTAGGTCTGAACGGATAATTGCGACTCGGGCATCTGTGAAAATAAAACAGAAAATAGGGTGAAATATAGAAAAATTGTTCCGTGTCCGAAATGTAGGAAGTTCATTTTTCAGCTCTGAAGAAAACATTGTCGCTTGTCCGACATCTGTCGAAGTATGACGAATGCAAATTACATGTTCTAAAAATTCAAGCAAACATTTAAAAACGTGCGACTTACTGTCAGCTGAAGTATGTTATAATGTTTTTGTATAATCGATGCACGCTACGGTGTAATCGATGCGTATCGCATCGTATTGTCGTTTGTAACTTGTTATCTGTACGCCGTTCTCGTTATCGTACGCATTCGTTCGACGTCGTTCGATGCATCACGTTTGTACAATTTATCGTTTTCATTGTGTTACATCGAATATATATTTCGTCACGCTGCGCGAATTCTGTTACTTACGATTCCTGTGTTCGCAACCGTTTCTTTCAGACGTTCGATTCGACTCTTAACCCTTTGCGTTCGAGCGACGACTCCGAGGCGCCATTAAAAATTGTTGTGTCACGTCTCAAAATAATTTTATTAATCGAATTTGTTTATATTCAAAGAGAGCTGTTGAAAGCGTAACTGTTGCACGGGTCACAATATTCAATTTTAGACGGGGTGTCCCAAAAATGTGTCGCAATCCGAAAGTAGGAGATTCCTGAGGTCATTTGAAGCAACTTTTTCCTTAGCGAAAATGCAATCCGCGGCTTAGTTTACGAGTTATTAACGAAAAACAGTGACCAATCAGAGGCGAGATCATTTGGCGCGAGACGGCCGAGCTAATGAGCGGAACTCGGCTCCGTGCACTCGTTGGCTGGGCCGCCGCGCGCCAGCCGTGCTCGCCTCTTATTGGTCAGTGTTTTTCGTTAATAACTCGTAAACGAAGCCTCGGAGAAAATTTTCGCAGAGGAAAAAGTTGCTTCAAATGACTTCAGGANAAATATACGCGTGTCCTGATACGTCGAACAGACGCGGCGACGAGATCCTTTTGTTGTTGTTTACGATCGACGCGGATTCTAATTAAAGTTCTCGTTCGTTCGTCGTATGAGATAGTTTGTTTTTGTTAGGTCTGAACGGATAATTGCGACTCGGGCATCTGTGAAAATAAAACAGAAAATAGGGTGAAATATAGAAAAATTGTTCCGTGTCCGAAATGTAGGAAGTTCATTTTTCAGCTCTGAAGAAAACATTGTCGCTTGTCCGACATCTGTCGAAGTATGACGAATGCAAATTACATGTTCTAAAAATTCAAGCAAACATTTAAAAACGTGCGACTTACTGTCAGCTGAAGTATGTTATAATGTTTTTGTATAATCGATGCACGCTACGGTGTAATCGATGCGTATCGCATCGTATTGTCGTTTGTAACTTGTTATCTGTACGCCGTTCTCGTTATCGTACGCATTCGTTCGACGTCGTTCGATGCATCACGTTTGTACAATTTATCGTTTTCATTGTGTTACATCGAATATATATTTCGTCACGCTGCGCGAATTCTGTTACTTACGATTCCTGTGTTCGCAACCGTTTCTTTCAGACGTTCGATTCGACTCTTAACCCTTTGCGTTCGAGCGACGACTCCGAGGCGCCATTAAAAATTGTTGTGTCACGTCTCAAAATAATTTTATTAATCGAATTTGTTTATATTCAAAGAGAGCTGTTGAAAGCGTAACTGTTGCACGGGTCACAATATTCAATTTTAGACGGGGTGTCCCAAAAATGTGTCGCAATCCGAAAGTAGGAGATTCCTGAGGTCATTTGAAGCAACTTTTTCCTTAGCGAAAATGCAATCCGCGGCTTAGTTTACGAGTTATTAACGAAAAACAGTGACCAATCAGAGGCGAGATCATTTGGCGCGAGACGGCCGAGCTAATGAGCGGAACTCGGCTCCGTGCACTCGTTGGCTGGGCCGCCGCGCGCCAGCCGTGCTCGCCTCTTATTGGTCAGTGTTTTTCGTTAATAACTCGTAAACGAAGCCTCGGAGAAAATTTTCGCAGAGGAAAAAGTTGCTTCAAATGACTTCAGGAACCTCCCATTTCCGGATTACGAGACATTTTCGGGACACCCTGTATACATAAAATGCACTGGAGAAACTATTTTAAATTTTGCGTTAATTCGGCTTCGAGTGCAAAGTGTTAAAACCGTGCCCTTTTAAACGAGAACCGCAAATATCGATAAAACGATAGCCTTTTCTATTGAAAAAATCTGTTATTACAGATCGTCAACAGGCAATCTTATAAATGCACTGTCAAAGATGTCTCATTTGGAATTTACCGAATGCGTGCAACGTAGCAATGATGTGTTTGATGGAGACCATGAGATGGTCGTTAGCATTCAGCAAACCGGCGAATTTATTATTCCGCGCGCGATCCTAGGATAAAACAATTGTTCGGTAGTTCCCGACCGTTCTTTCAGGGAAACGCTGCGGTCGCACTTCGAGGAATCCGGCAATTATTAGTTTTGGACGATGACCGCCTGCCTAATGATAGCCACGGATGGTGACGTTGATTACAGACTTCGCCGAAGTAACGGAGTAACTAACTTGGTGCGGGGTTGATTAGAGGGGCAGCCCGATGTGGCGACGCGATAATAACGCGAATACTAATGACGATCGTCTCCCTTGTCTTGTACCAGTCATTGTAAGCTGATACCATCTCGGGAAGCGGCGTGCGGCAGACATGGAATCGAACGTCGATTACCTTCGACGGTGTTCCTCTGCGAGAGACCGGCAAACAAACTCGATCCCCGGTCATTATTCTCGAAATTGTACGCCCTCGCTAAATACCACTCTCTTCCTGTTTCTCCGGGCTTTTGCAGTATCTTTATCGCCTTCATTAAATATCTATCGAACACACGATTCGGGAGAAATGTTTGATTACCGCACACGGCGGATCTTCGCGCGATAAATGAAACTTCTCCGAGTCGAATCGAAGCGACGAGATAAAACTGATCGTCTCGTGGTAACTTCGGTAGTTACTGGAGATGGTATAGTATTGTTATCACAGTAATATAGTGTAGTATTTAGTTATTAATATAGAGAAATCAATTTGTCGCCCTTTCAATTTTTCATCGACGAAGCATCTTTTAAGAAATCGTCTCGAGCTCCTGCTTTATTAATTTCCGATCGCGTGGACCACCAATTAGTTCTCCACGAGGATACGATTCTGTAGCTTCCCCTCAATCGAAAAAATAAAAGCACAGATATTTATACAAAAATCAAGGAATAATAAAGTTCTGGTTGAATCATCGACCGCATCATCGATACGTTGGCCGCTGCGGTTCGAATCTGCGTGGCTGCACGATAAATCATCGGCATCCAGCATCGACGGGCCCATCGCCCGAGGATAAATCGTCATAACGAAACGAGGTTACGCAAATGTTACCGCTAAAACATTGCCGGTAGCAATTCCCTCTTAGGCGATCTCCTTTAGAATCGAACCGATCGGACGCCGATAGATCTCTGATATAAAGATATCGATACAGTTTACATGAAAAATCCGATGTCCTAAAAATTTGAAAGCCGCAATGCAAGCAGAAAAACGTTGACAAGAATGTGTTAACTGTGTGCTTTGTTTATCACATATTTGTCCACTTATTTTTGTTCCTCGAACGAACGATCGATTGTTTTGTTGAACGTCGATTACGTATCGTTTCGGCTTCTCGGTAAATAATCTAAGCATTGTACGGAATAAATAAAAGTTAGGTTCGCGACGATATCGTAGGTTCAATTAAATCTCATTAATAGCTATTCCCTGTATCTGACCACTTAATTTTGTTCACATAACTGTGTATCTATCCACGGGCCGATAAATCAATGTCGGAACGGCCATAGAGCTTCTGTGTCCCCGCGATTATTGGTCGCGGTGTATCGGCGATATTTCATTGTCGTCCGACAACCACTTACCACACCCTCGCAACCCCCGTTCGATCCGGGGGTCCTTTTTTCGACGATCACCGAACCGGGAACACCGGAAACGACGCTTCGGATCACGTCGAGTTGTTCCTCGATTTTTGAACCCGGGCTTCGATCACGTTCGTTCGACCAGCGAACACAAAGAAACTGCACGAAGAACGCAGAGACGAGATGTTCGAATAGACGAAACTGGATTGCGGACCTTTTGTACGTCTGACAAAGATGAGTCAGCGAAATATGAAACAGTAGGAAATGTACGTGCCGACACATTGTCATTATGTT